CAGAGACATTTCACAAAAAATTTTAAAATGAACACAGCATTTTCATGGCGATGTTGGGTTTAAAATAAAATGTGTGCGAGTGTGACAATAAAAGGGCAAATGTTTGACAAGCAAGATGGTCACTCTCATAGAAGACAGTAACAGCCACAGCACTTGAGCTCAAGATCTGGTAGCTGAAACACAAGTGAGTGTGTTTACTTGTACCTACAGACACATATATTTTCATTCAGTGGATTTCCAACTCTTACTGGAGTACGTAAATCACTAGCCACACCCATTGCTGTTGTTCTCATCAAAAATAATATTTTATCCCATCAATCTTTTTTTTTTTTTTTTTTTTAGCTTTTATTTTTTCTACATGTATATTTAAGTGGACCATCCCTCAGTTGGGTGGGGGTAGTTATGTCTGGGGGTTTGGAGTTGTCAAAAATGAGTTATACCCATTTTCACACTCATATACAAATGCAGAATAACTCATAACCTCTGCAAAGAAAAACTCGGCAATGAGCAGCGTCTGTGAGTCCAAGGCACTCTCGTGCAGTGACCGCAATTTTTATATGTTTGTATTTATCCCCTTCTGGAGCTAAATTATAACATATTTTGACATTATGTTTTATGTTTTTTTGTTTTTTTTTATAAAAATGTTATATACATGATTCGATTTTGACATAAACCGCATATATATATATATATATATATATATATATATATATATATATATATATATATATATATATATATATATATATATATATATATATATATAACTTTAGGGTCCAACAATAATGCCTGAGCAGTGGTGAGTATCTTGAAAATAAACAAATGCGACTTGTATGATTTGATGGGTATGTCGACCGCGAGGCTTCCCAAGAGTTTTCATGTTTGTGCCACCCGCTGAGATGTTATGCACAGAAAAGATTTTATGTTTTTAGGTTCACTGGAAAATGCATTATAGTAATAATATAACTACATTTAAATCAATATAGATGACTGAAGAACATAAACACTAAAAAGCCTATATAAAATGTCAAATACCTCTTAAACTCATTAGATATAATTGGTTTGTGTCAATACATCAAGAAAAGAAGCCTCTGTGTGAAACAAACAGTGGTGAGTTTATATTTCAAAATGTGAATGCTTACCAAACGGTTATTTCCAACGAATAAAGTAACAATTCATGGTCACTCAGTAACCAAGAACTCTAACCATTTCTGGTCATCTATGCACTTTTGTAAACATGTGCACACATGTACACACATTCAAATATGTATACATATTTACACATACATGTGCATACATCTACATACACACATTTATTTACGCAAGTACATGTATGCACATGTTTTAATATACATATGCACATATGTGTACACATATATATGTGCTTACATGTGCTTACATGTATGCACATGTAAGCACATGTAGATGCTAGAAAACACAAATACAAGTCGTGCGAGTCAAAAAATAACTGCATTTATGAAAGCATCATGTTGCTGAGGATAGCATATACAGAGGTACCATTTTAGTTTATACTGTAACTTGGTAACCAGTCAAGACATCTTCATGTAACAAACAGCATTTGAAAGAGAAATGTGTGTAGTTTTATAGCTATTTGAATAAATAATTTTAATGAAGGAAAGATTAAAAATTGAACAGAAATATTCACAATTTTCATCTCTCTTTTCATCAAACTGAATCCTTCGAGCTTCTATACCACTATTCTCAAACAGTTTACATCTGATGTAAGGTTTGTTCATAACATTGGAAAGCTAATGGAAAATTAACCTCTGGGATTTTTGATTTTTGCTTCCGCTTATTTTTGGCTTTTTTTTTTTTCAATTGCCCATTATAAATGGCTTCTCCTTCGTACAAAGACTTTCCATGTGCAACCGTGTGTACACATAGATACATGTTTACACGCCCAAATACACACATTTACACACACATGTACTCAAATTAGTACACATGTGGATATCTACTTCCATATAAAGATACACAAACTTATTATCACTTGCATATGTATGAAAACATTAATAGAAATGATCTGATACCCACAATAACCTTGTTTCTGGATTGGGTCATGTTCCCATAAATCAAATTTCTGCTTTTTGGAGGGGTGACTTTTTAAAATTTGTTAAAACTTGGGTTATAGAGGATAAAAACTGATTGAAGGAAATGAACTGAAACTTCTATTTGTGAGGTTCCGATTCAATTTACATTTTGTTGGTATTAGGCTAAAAGCTTATCAAAATGCACAGATTGACGCAAGCTTTTTAACCCCTCAACGCCGGGTGACGCCAATCGGCGTGAAAACAAACTGCTCAAAAGCTGGCGTGCGGCTGTACGTCGCGGCGGCGCGCCAAAGCGCGGCGAGCCAGTGATTCGGGCTGATGTACCCTACTCACGCACTCAAAGTCGGCGCTCTGCCTTTGTTTGCCAGAGCGTAGAGGTTTTTTGTTTTGTTTTGTACAACCAGCGCCATTGGGTTAAAAATTCCCATCCCAATTTTGAGGGTCAAAATTTTGAAAATCAGAAAACAAATTTTTTTTTTTCTTTTCTTTTCTTTTCTGAGAAAACTAAGGCAAATTTAGAAAAAAAGCTCATGTGAGTCTCTTTGGATTTTATTGACGTTTATGCTGATTTTTTTAATTGCAAAGTATGCAACTGTGTAGGCCAACAGCGGTACGCAAGAAACGTATGTGGTAAAAAAAAAAAAAAAAAAAAAAAAAGTTTTTTGAGGGGCCATCCCTCCTCTTCGGGGAATTTTCACAAATTTTGTACCAAAGATGTCGAATGCTACAATAAACAAAATATCAAACTTGAAGAAAATTGATAAGAGTTTTGTTTTAATCAGTATTCAAAAAATTTACTCCCACACCTTTTTACCCAACCCCCACCACTTTGAGGAACGGTCCCCTTAACTGCAGTATTAAAAATTGGCAAGTGGCCAGTAATACAGGTAATTGGTGCACACTGGCAGTTTCCCATTTTGCCCCTGGCTAATTCAGTACTTCACACATAAATTTAGGCACTCAGTAGCTTATAGCACACTGAGCGCTATAAATACACAAGCAAAGAAAAAATACATTTCCCTGAACTTGAAGTGTCTGTATCTAATTTTGATACCCAACCTACTACCATCAGAGCAAAGTAATGTCCTTCTGATGTGTCAACAGTGCACATTTGTTTTTTGAAAGATTTTTTTTTTTTCATAGCTATGCTATTAATAATGTTATAATTCAATAAAAAAATGATGATGATAATATTGATATTAGTATTATCATTTTTTTTTTTCAATCTGAAATTTCAAGGAATCAGGTAAGGTCTAGGTTTGTTATGCCTAGCAATTAAATCTTTCATGACTAAGCACCTATGAAGCCATCTATGTGATAACAAAACTGACAAAACAAGAGTGACATGGACAGAGCATGTACCTGGAACCAATGAGATAATCATCTAATGGTGCCAGGTACATACAAAGTAAGGCACCATGTTACCATATATGCATTAGAGTAAGCAATCTGTGGTAGCATCTGAAACAATGACAAGCAACAAAAATGGCATCACCAGATAATTCATATTTAAAACACTATATATCAAAATACCCAATTAAAGTTTAATTTCTGATGTTCCATACTGTAAGGCAATTTTGGGAAATTACTAATGCCAAGATAACAAACTTGACTCTCAGCCTCTGCTGACCCACTTTGAGATAAAAAAATACCTTCCTCTAAAACATGTAATCTTTAGTTATATACAAAACAAAACATTGGAGGGTAAAATCTGACAAAACTATTTTGTCAGAGAATAAAATATTCAATATACCCTACATCAAGATATTATTTTTCTTTGGGCAAAAAAGTAGTAGTAATACATACTTTCAAATCATACAGTTAACTTATACAGAAAAATACTAAAACATAAAAAATATATGGAATACTAACTTGCAGCATTTTTTTGTTATGGTCATTTTTACCCAATTCTCTTCGTAAGACTTGACTCATGTGTTGAACTTCTCTTCCGAAGGCTAGCATACGTTCAACCGCAGCTGGGTTACCACCACACATTTTTCTGATGCCACTACTCCCATCTAATTCTGAAATATAAGATTCAGGTCCATGTATCTAAAGATATGTTAGATTTTCTTCATGAAAACCTGTGTGTAAACATCTATCAAAAGTGTAAAAAAGAGAGGGAGAAATACACAAAGAAAAACAAGAATACAAAAAAGAAAAAGAAACAGAAGGAAAAAGAAGACTAGGAAGAAGTAGGAGGCAAAGAAGAAAAAAGTACATAAGTAAATTAAAACAAAGAAAAAAACAGAAAAGAATGAATGAAAAAAACACAGGCATATGTGTGTGTAGACATACAAAGTTAATACTTGGTGAAGTTACAAAACAGTATGTCTAATTTGTTTCAATCATTCTGAAAATACTTTATTTTGTGTTAAAATATGTTAATAGTTATATTTTTTCCATATGGCATTAGGTTACTATGAGGAGATGCATCTATGCTTGAACAGTTGAGCAAGAAAATGCTTGTTAGCTTGTTTAAACTCAACTTAGGGAGGGTGAATAACAAGGAACTGACTCGATACCAGTGCTGGATGATACATGACATTTTTGAAGAATTATGTTCATTCTGGTGAAATGGGCATCTCGCACTCTATTTATATTTACCATTTACACCTTTTATATTTTCCTTCTGCTTGTCAATGCACATCTGTTTACAGTTAATGTGTAGATGTGTATGAAATTGGCATAATTGTCCTTCATTGCAAAATCAAAAGTAATCTGAATGTATATTTGTTAACTCTGAGCTACAGTAGTTAAAAGAAAAAGGACCCATCTGGAGAGAGAGAGAAAAAAAAGTATGACACTGTATATTTGACATATTATTATTTATGATCATGAATATTCATTAGTTCATTAATATTTTGCTGCTAATCCCAAAATATACTAAATAAGAAAAAAACATGGTATATGACCTCAAGCTGACACTATTTTCAAGATGGACACAAGGCAAGATAAAATTGCAAATAGAGACTGCATTATTAGGAAGAGGGAAAGTGATTTGTCTCCCAGCAGAATTTTAAGAAAGCTGTCTTCTTGTCAATGGTATACAAGTGAATATGGAGGTGGGAGGAAGAGAGAATAGCAAACAAGCCCATTTTCTAGCACTCCGCTATAGACCACCAATCAGTTTGCCTTCACCAATGCAGCTAAACTTTAAGAAGACATTTAGCTCCCAGTAACAGGCTGCATCGTGAGAAACTGACTACATGTAGACGAAAGATAATATAGATCATCATCAATGAGGATGACCAAATGACATCTCTAATATTACCTTCAGTTCGCCCAACAGTATATGGAAAATGATCTATATTACTATGGAAGATTAATATGGACAGGAAAGAAAAAAATAATAATAATAAAAAAAATAATAATAATAAGGGGGCTACATTCCTGGATACGGTGTAAATATTATTAATTTTCAATTTGTTCATAAAAGAATACAACAATGATAATGAGGAATGGAAATGCTCTATATTATATTAAAAGTTTGATACACATCAGATTTCTTCTTCTAATACTCCATTAGTATTTACTTTTCACACTTAGCAAATAAAATATCCATTAAACTATGAAGTGTGGCTACATGACCTATAAAATGTAGAGTTGCCTTTCCTGCATAATGCAGTTGAACTCGTCAAAATGAAGGGGAGAGACTATTCACATAAATATTAAATTGTCTATAGAAATTTTCCTCCCATCAGTATATTCCTCCTGTCATTATATATATATATATATATATATATATATATATATATATATATATATATATATATATATATATATATATATATATATATATATATATATGCATATATTATATTATTGCATTTATTATATATATGCATATATATATATATGCATATATATATATATATATGAACATATATATATATATATGAACATATATATATATATATGAACATATATATATATATATATATATATATATATATATATATATAATATATATATATATATATACATATATATACACATATATGTATACATATATATACACTATATAATATACATATAATTACAACATATATATAAATACATATTTCCAACATATTATTACACATATAAATATATACATATAATATATATACACATATAAATATATACTATATATACACATATAAATATATACCTTATATCACTATAAATATATACATATATATCACATATAAATATATACATATACATAACATATAAATATCTACATATACATACACATATAAGTATATATCAATATATATCATCATATATTACACTTATAATACACATATATATATACATATATATCACTATATATATACATATATTTACATCTAATATATATATATTTATATGCTATATATATTATATATTATAGATAATATTATATTATCTATATGTTATATATTGTGTATATATATGTCTATTATATGTTGTATATATATGTATCTATATATGTGTATCATCTCTGATATATATATATGTGTCTCTATCTATATTATATATATATATATAGCTATATATATATCTCTCTATTCATTTGAAATTTTTTTAAAAAATAAAAATATCTATATATATATCTATGTGTATATATATATAGATAGTATATCTAATGTTATATCTTTATATATATATATATATATATGTGTATATATATATAATTATATGTTTATCTATCTGTCTATCTATATGTGTATATAGATGTATCCATTTATGTGTATCTATATGTATATTAATTTGTTATATATATGTATATATCTATGTCTCTATATTGTCTATATATATCTATATATATATATCTATATCTATCTATATATCTCTCTATATATATATATATATCTATATTACACCTATATATAGTTATATAATCACATATATATATATATATACACCATATATATATATATCTACACATTATTATATATATATAGATATATCTATATATATATAATCTATATACACCTATATTATATATACCTTATATACATATTATACATATATCATACATATATATATATATATTCATATATACCTATATTATATATATTATACATATCTATATATGTATATATTTATATGTGTATATAAATGTGTTATTATGTAATATATTATACTTTGTATATATATGTATATATCTTATATGGTGTATATATATGTCTATATCTATGTGTATACTATTGGTATATTATATTTGTATATTATGTATATAATATCTATATCTATCTATATATATATATATATTATATATCATATCTATATATATATATTAGTGTGTATATATATGTATATTATCTATATGTGTTATCTATGTCTATCTATTAGATATGTTATATATATGTATATACTCTATGTGTATATCTATGTATCCCATATATGTGTATATATAGCATGTATCTCTATATGTGTATATATATGTATATATATATGTATATATATATATATATACTACATAGATATATATAAATTTATTATTATATATATAACTATATATATCATATACCCTATATATACACAGATATGTATATATATATATATATATACTATACTATATATATATATATATATATATGTATATAGATATTTATAATATCCGCATTATATTATAAATATATAGATATACATATATATATATAATATCTACCATATAGATGATATATATATCATTATACTTTATCTATATATATATACATAGACATATATATATATATATTACATACATATATATATATAATATCATACCATCATACTCATATATATATATCTATAGACAGTTACATTTATATCTATATATCATAACATATTCATATCTTATATACTATATATTCTCTATGATTCTATATATATATCACAGATATCCCTAATTCTATATTTATATATATATATAATCTACATATAACATATATACATAATATATTCTATATATAGATATCTCTATACATATAATACCTCTATTTATATAATATATATATATCTATATATATATATATACCTATTATATATACATATATATATATTTATCTATATATATATTTATACAATATATATATATATATCAATATATTTATATATATATATATAATATATATAGATATATATATATACATCTCTCTATATATATACTAATACCTATATATATCATATTATATTCTACTATATATATAGTATATGATATCATATATATTATATATATATACACATATATATATCACTATATATTATACATATATATATATACTCTATATATATATATAGTATACATATATCTATATGTTTATATACATCTATCCATATATAGATATTATTATATATATACATATATATCTAGGATATACATATACATATATATATATATATTACAAATACTATATATATACATATATATATATATATATATATCAATACATTATATATCATAGATATATATTATATATACAAATACATATATATATACATATCATATATATAAATATAACAGATAATATCATATATTATATATATATATACATATACATATATATATACATATACATATATATATACCTATACATACGATATATACAATACTATATATATACAATATATGATATACATATACATATGATATTCCATATACAGATATATATACCATATATACTAACATATACATATATAGATTATCTAGATTATATAGATTATATAGATAGCTATATATAATATGTATTTAATATATATTAGATCTATATATATATATCCATAACATATACATAATACATTCATATACATATACATAGTACATATACATATACTATACATCGTATATACAATACAATATTTATATAAATATACATATATATATAATTATATATCCATATAGACATATATATAATATACATAATAGTATACATCTATACAGATATCGATATACATATATATATACTATATAACCTATATAAGATACATATCTATATACATCATATACATTATATATATACTATACATATATATATATCTATATATATATATATACATATATATATATATAGAT